TTTGAGTTGGAGTCTCACTCCATCACCCAAGCTGGAGTGCAGTGGCCGCTCCCGGCCACCGCAGCCTCCACCCGCTGGGCTCTGGAGATCCTTCCGCCTCTGCCTTCCAAGTAGCCAGAACTACAGGTGCACGCTACCACATCTGGTTAATTTTTTGATTTATTGTGGAGATGAGGTCTCACCAAGTTGCCCAGGCTGGTCTCGAACCCACAGGCTCAGCCCATCTACTCGCCTCAGCCTCCCAAAGTGCTGGGATTATAGGCTGATCCACTGAGGCTGGCCCAGAAGATTTTTTAAAAATGACATTGTTTCTGTCATGCAGGCTAGAGTACAGTGGCCTGATCATAGCTTACTGCAGCTTCAACCTCCTGGGCTCAAGCAAAACTCCTGCCTCAGCCTCTCAAATAGCTGGGACTACAGGCACGTGCCACCACACCTGGCTAATTTTTTAGAATTTTTTGTAGAGACGGGATCTTGCTGTGTTTCCCAGACCGGTCTCGAACTCCTGCCTGGGCCTCCCAAAGTGTTGTGATTTCAGGCGTGAGCCACAGTGCTCAGCATCTAGTCCTTCAATTGTCCAGAACATTTTTATCACCTCAATAAGAGACCACACACCTGCCAGCAGTCACTTCCCGTCCCCTCCTCCCCTGCCCCCTGGCAACCACTAATCTGCTTTCTGTCTCTGTGGATTTGCCTGTTCCGGACATTTCCTGTAAATGGAACCACACACTGTGTGGTTTTCATGTTTGCCAATCTGGGGGCGAGGTGAAACGGGATCTCATTTTTCAATGTATTCCAGCGCTCGAATAGGTGTTTCCTTCTCACTGTCCACAATTCAAGCGCTCCAAAGAAGTACATGGGAGTATGGCAGTTCCTCTAAAAAAATCAAACACGGAATTACCACAGGACCCAGCAATTCCATTTCCGGGTATACATCCCCAGCGTTGAAAACAGGGTCTTGAAGGGATATTTACACACCCATGTTCATGGCAGCATTGTTCACAATAGCCAAGAGGTGGAAACAACCTAGGTATCTGTTGATTAACAAAATGTGGCAAATCCATACCACGGAGGGTTACTTAGCCTTGAGAAGGAAGGATGGGCCGAGACGTGCTAAGGCGTGGAGGAAACTTGAGGACATCACGCGGAGTGAAACAAGCCAGTCCCAGAAAAGAATAAGTATGATTCTACCTACACGAGGTCCTTAGAGTAGTCGAATTCAGAGACAGAAAGGAGGGAGGTGGTTGCCAAGGGCTGGGGAGCAGGATGGGGAGTTATTTAATGGGTGGGGTCTCGGATTTCCAGAGACGGATGGTGGTGGGGTCTGTACGACAGGGCGGGTGTACGTACGACCACTGTGTGGTTAGAGGTGGCAGAGTATGGTTGAGATGGTCAATTTGGGGTTGTCTTAGTTCACTTTGTCACGGTTTTTAAAAAGTACCCGGCAGAAAGTCTAGATTTTTAAAGCGAAACGTGCTTTCCTTCCTACTTAATCTACCTTGAAGACTTTCTCTGAAGGGCCGCATGGCACTCTACGGCATGGTGTCCCCGGTCGACTGTCCCCAGGGAACAGCCCTGACGGTCCCTTACTTCAAGCTTCTCACTCTGGATCCCAGATCACAGAGGGTCCCACTAAAATGAACTCGCACGTGTCACTGCACCCGCACTGGGCTTGGCCTGTGGCTCTGTGAGAAGGAGTGAAAACTTCCTGACTCAGTTTCCCCGGGAGAGCGGGTGGGGGGCGGCTAGGCTGGTTCTGAGTGATGGGGAGTCTGCTGGGTGCCCAAGGCTGGGAGGGGCCGCCTCCAGGGGCTGCTCTGGTCCGTGGTGGATCAGTGTCCACGCCCTCTGTGGGGACAGGCTGGCCTTGGCCTTGGCGCCCCCACACCCTCTGCCTCTGCTTCTTTTTTTTTTTTTTTTTTTTT